TACTACATAAAAAGGAGAAACAAAAAGCGGGCAAGGATATTCAAGAGGACGGGCAAATTAGTTGAGTAAATGAAGCGGAAAGAAAGGTTTTTATGCAACTGAAAAAGATTCTACAAAGTGTTGGCAAAACTAGCAGTATGCTCGACTAAGCGAAGAAAAACCCACGATGGCTAAACTAGCAAGCAGAGGCTCATTAATGGCAATTTATGCGGACAAGCCACGAAGTGATATGCACAACAACAAAACGAATTAAAATTTGAACACAAGGTTTAAGTCTTGCTCTGCTAACTCTTGCTTATCTGTAACCAAAACCGTTAACTTCTATTTTTTCGCGTCCAAACACTTCCCGAGTAACCTGTCGCTCTTAAAACGCGACACTTTAGATCGAAATCAACGCAGGAAGCAAGTGTCATAGTCGGTTTTTAATTAGACAAAAGCAAGAGGTCATAAAAATTTAGTAAAAGTCTATACAAATTATTAACTGCATTTCAACACGCAAAAATCCTGTTGCTTTTGCTTCCGAGACGCCCTACTTATTCTACTACCTTGTACTCCTAATTTGAAAAAGCTGGCTCGCCTTAAAATCTTGACACCCCAGTAGTTAGTGTAGAAATTATAGTCTAGCTAAATTAAGGAAAACCACTTCCTTTGTCATCCTAATTTTTTACATTTACAACCCACGATACGATCTCGTTCTTATTCGCAGGACTTAAAATGCGCCGCTGCGGCACTGTTGGAATGTGTGAGAGTCTAAACGCGCAATCACAAAGATTTTATCGCAAGCAGACTGGCAGGAAGACCATAAAGAAACAAGAAAAAACTGTCACATAAAAGCACCCCATAGGAGCTAATGACGACAGGCAATGCAACGTCCTGCNAGTGCGCGAGTTTCATTCACGCAAGCAGGGTTGTTGCGCTAACGGTTCTCAGAAGTTACGCTACCACGAGCGCGAGTATAAAAGCAATTTTACCCGTCGCGTTTAGTCAGTTTGTCAGCAAATGTGAACGAGAGCACAGTTTTGCCTTGCGAGCTGGGACTTCCTAAATACATACGAAATAGCAAAATGTTAAAGTGGACGGCGTCAGCGCAGAAGCTGAATCAGCTCACGCCGAACATAAAGGCGGCTACGACGACATTGCGTTCACCGCACCCGTTAACAGACACGAAACGACGCCGCCGACGTGCCACAATCAGCAATAAGGAGAACATCGTACCATATACCTCAACTCCGATGGTGGCGCGAGAGCGCAACAGCCCAGTGGTGCTTTCGCCGTTAACGGATATTTTGAATGTCACACCGAAATCGCAGTCGCCGCTGACGCAGCGCACACCAGAGCGAATGCTGAATGCGAGTACGAGTGCAACCAGCCGGGCACTGCCCAATCGACGCCATTCAACAGTGGGGTTCTTTTTGCACCCGGCGCCTAATTACGCCTCCACTCTGCCACACTTCGAGGAAGAATACTCGCCAAGCACAGCGCTGCCTACTGGACAACAAGTAGCTTTAAGAGGACTACTGCCAGACCCTTTCCTCAGCAACTTGCGCTACTTTAACACGCCCGAGTTGGAGAAGCGAAAGCAAAAGGAGGCCCAAGAAAAGCTGAAGGCCGCCAGAAAATCATTGCCACGAAAGCTAGAAGCAGATTTTGCTGAAATTGCGCGAGAATGTTGCGGAGGCCAGCAACCGAAGCGCAACTACAATGAGTCGCATTCAGCCGGTATGAGCGACCAAACCTTAGACAAACTCATTGACGCTATACTCGACTCAGCGCGCAAAGGCGAAAAGAAGAAGATGAGGCCGCGCAAGTCATTCAACTTACGTCGTCGCACGCTGCTGAAGAACCAGA